AAAAAAAAAAAAAAAATTATTCAAGTGCATGGCAACCAATCAAGTTTACAGGAAGGCTTAAAATAATAAAGCACACACTTCCCTATCCCTGATGTTGGCTTACACATTTACTGGCCATTTTCACTTCTTTTTTTTCGTTTTGTTTTTTTGAGACAAGGTCTCACTATGCAGTTTAGGCTGACCTTGAACTCACTATGTAGCCCAGCCTGGCCTCACACTCATGGCAATTCTCCTGCCTCGGCCTCCCAAGAGCTGGGATTATTGGCATGTGCCACCATGCCTGGTTCAATTTTAGTTCTTGTGACCAGCTCCCTCTGTCCAAATACCTGCTGTATTTCTGACTTTTTATAATGGAAAATCTCAAACACCCTAAATGTAGACAACAGTAAAAGTACTGAGCCCCATGTACCCGTTATTAATTTAAACTTTCCTTACTTTTTAAAACTGTGAGCTTCCACAGTTACCTACTAGGTCATATTTACGTTGCAATGCCCCGCATCTCTTATCAAATCACTCCTCTCTGGTCCAGCCCCCTCAAACAGTCTGTGCCCCTTAACACGAGTATGCCAGTGCCCTTCAGCTTCCAACCCCATACTCTGGTCTAGAAGACCCAGGCTCACTTTCTGCGCCTGCAGTGGTGACACGGAAAAGAGCCCTTTCATTATGGGACCCTGGTTTCCTTTAACTGGCAGAGAGCAGTGCTGCCTCCGGGACCAGCATAGCTTGTTCCCTCTACGTCTTACCAGTGGGCAGACCTTTTAAGTGGAAAACGGCATAATGCATTCATACTGATAATTCCGAAGCAAAATTAGTCTTAAATTTAGTTAAAAAAAATTTTTTTTGTGATGCTTGAGAGATAAGGTCTTGCAGGATAATTTAGGATGGCCTGGAACACTGAACTCTCCTGCCTTCGCCTCCCAAGTGCTGGGATTACAGGAATGTGCCAGCATGCCTGCCTTGACTTAGTACAAGTTTATCTTCTGTCTCATGGTAACGTCTTCATTCTTACAGTAAAAACTTGTTTTTGCTTTATTCTAAATTGAATTCTATCAACATCAGTGTTTCATACTGCTTATGATTTCTTTGTAGTTACTGTATTTCTGTCTGTGAGATTTATCTCACTACGATAGTAGTACCTTGGTTCACGAACTCAATCCTCTACATGATTCTGGTCACAAATTGAACTGGAAAAGAATCGAATCAAATTTCTCCATAAGGTCAACATTGAACCTAAGCACTGAACCTGATTTAGTTCTCATCCATCTTGGTTTGTGACCAAGGTAGAAAGAATCAAGTCTGTGAATCGAGGTACCACATTACAGCATTCAAATTTCTGGTGGAGGCATTATGGGTTCACAAGCATTCTCTGGTTTTGAATTAATCAAAAAACCCTTTAAACCTTCAGCTGGAGGTCTATACCCAAATTTTGCTGGAAGATCATCAAATGTCTGAGATGCATTTTCAAAATTATATGCTAAAATGTCTGCTCCCACCGGTAGTAAGTTGAAGAATGCAAAGAGCTGGACAGTCAAGATGGTGTAGACTTGGGTAGCTGAAAGCATAAGCATCCCTATGGAGAGCAGCATCTCGCTGTCAAGTCACCTGGAGCGCCGGCTCCGGGACACAGGCTCGTGGCCTCAGTGCTGCGGGAGGAGACCCGAGCCTAGTTCATAACTAGCATTCAAATTTCTAGGTTTAAAAAAACCATAGTGAGGTTGGGCTACCAACATCAAACTGCAAAATGTTTCATTCTGCTTCTAATTTTCAGGGCAGTACTTTTTCCTAGTTTCAGAGTTAAGTAAAACATTTACAGAGCCAACTAAAAAAC